ATTCGCGTCTCGGCACCCACATAACTGTAGACGGCTTCGTATAATTAGGAACCAGCATTAATACCCATAAAAATTATAGCCTTGGAATCCAACGGAGAATTACTCTTGCCCAGAAGTACTACTTTGGACTGAGTAGGCAACTGAAAACTAAAGCCCTCTCTCGTCGAATCAGGCCAAATACTACAAAATTTTATAATACAAAAAGCTAAAGCGATTTAACAGGAGGAACCTTAATGAAGATCCTTGAAAATTTTTAATGGTGCAGAAATGGATAAAAAAAGGCTTGGCTCTATAAATCAGAAATTCTAGAAGATCTGCAAAACTCTTTATGAATAGGCTGCCATTGCACGCCGATCTGCTTAAATAATAACTTTTAATCGATTTGGTGTTTTTAAAGAAACAGTTTAGTGACTAGTTACCATTATTTTTAATTCATGTTAACTAATTGTCGATTAATGCTAGATAGCAGTAATCGGTTGATAATTTATTATTAGAGTACACCAATTTTGTGCTACTTTGTTATTAAATTGATTATTGGATCATTATGTTTTAATTTCACTCAGGATAAAAAACATATTTTTTCAAATTAAGTTCATTGCATATTCATAAAAAAAATAAATAAAAAAGTTAATTGAAATAATAAACAATGTCTAAGTGGAAAATAACTAGAAGTACATACAGATGTATTTAATTTTTAGTAATTATTACAAACATATAATTATAGTATATAGTAATTACGTTAATTATAATAATAATAGTAATCCATTGATAAAAAATTAATAATCAAAATCACAGCACCCTTATTAGTCGTAAAATAAATTTATATGCTTTGCCTAAATTTCAGATACCAGGATCAGAACTACTGCAGTCCGGCGATTTCCCATGCTCTGGGCTAGCAAAACGAAGAAAAATCCATAGGGATATTCCTTGAGTCTGGCAAATCTCTTGCATGGTGCACAGATTGCACGCTAAAACCCGCTTTTCGTATGGGACAGCTTTGCAAACCGTGGAATCCGAACACCGCGCAAGAGTTTAGCAAGACTCAGAAAATACCCCTAATATCTAAACCCCCTATTGCGAGTGTCGACTGGTAGTAGATAAACGAACCTTATTCGATAACCGCTTTTCCATGGTATTGCGAGTGTCGACTTCTCGTGCAATAAGCGACTGAATACTGTGAATTGTTTTTAATCGCTTATCCTCCTACAACTGCTTGTTTGTAGAACTATTCACTGTCGCTTATTGAAAGCGAACAAGATTTTGAAAATAGCATGGAAAATTTATAATCGACAAACAGTCATTTATCTACTACTAGTCGACACTCGGAATAGGGGTGTAAGTATTTAAGTACTTAGTGTATATTTTCAATTGAGCTGGAAACAAGTTGAAAGCAGTTGAATAGGCTTTCTATCTTCGAAAGATAGCAGCCTTATAAGTTTGCAACGGAAATATGCCGTCCTCTGTTACTTTGGTACACAATTTAGCCTGATGCAGATTTTTAATATTTTGCTCGGGCATCCTCTAGTCTTATAGGCCACTCTCTGGAGCATAGCGGGAAAAATGCCATCTAGACCTTACACCTGATAAGGCTTTAATTTGTTTCCATGCTTTAAACGGTGAGCACTAAAGTTTTATTAAGGAAGGAGGCGCCATAATTTCCCTGCAGGGAAAGCTACTACAGTATATTTTGCTTAGCTGCACATCCTTCTTTGCACGAAAACCTTGTGCACGTAACCGAAAAAGGCACATAAGCGAATTTTCTTTACTACTTCAATGAGGCAGGTATCCGAATCCCTATGAAACCAAATATTGGCGGAGCACTTACCATGTAGAAATTAATGCAAGCGAAATTTTTACCGAATGTTATCTAATTATCTATATAACTACATAAATTGATAACCATTTTCGTTGTTCTGCGAGATGAGCAAAATAAATAAAAGTTATAAAATTAGGTAATTGTAGGGCCAGTGCAGGTAAACGTAATACTTTCATTGATAATTGATACTAGTCGCACAATTTTTAAGGCAGGTATCGCCAATGTGCAGGTATGTTGAATGCATCCATCGGAGCAGTTTCCTTATAAATGTTAAAAATAATGCTTTTGATGCGCATTTTGGGGTAGGTATCTTAAATGTGCACTTAAGCATAGAGGCAGCAAAGCAAAATATACTGTAGTTGTGAACTAGAATTCTACCAGTTTGCGTTTCAGCCCAACTAGTTGACGTTCTATCCTTTTTCATTGTTAGCGACTGGTATTTTTAACATTGCGATGTCCTACGAGATGTCAATTGCCAGGCTATGCATCAGCATCTACTAGTAGAAATACTAGTAGCATCATACCAGTTGATGAGATAGTCAGCCAATTCATTCCCCATGAAAAGCATTATTATGCCTTTTTGCTCACGGCGCTCCAACAGTCGCAATGGCCGACAGAGCAAAGCACTCGCGTGGTATGCCTGAGGTTCAAGCCCTGGCGCATGGAATTTTTTTTTAATTTTATTTTTTCTTTATAATATATTATTTATATTTTTTATTTACGTTTTTTTTGTTATTCTTAAATTTAATTAAAAAACTATATTTTTTTAATCTATTTTTTTATGGCACAAGTATTTCTTCCCATATATTTGCTTGTTTCTTTTTTTTGTAATGCAACTAGATTTTTAAGTTTGTTATTTGTATTTAAATTGAAATAATTATTCCTACTTACATTGATCTAACTTTAAAAATCTTAACCACCTCCAAGCGGCCTCGAACCTGCAATCCCAGAACCAGAACCAGCAGTCTTCACGTGACGCCACAACCGACATTTGTAAGAAAAGCAATCAATTGCGTTTTATTTTAGGCTTTGGCAATTCAAAGGCAGATGTCGCTGAACGCTTAAGTTCTTCGAAAATGTCGAACTGGTAGGCACATACTAGTTTATGAACTAGTATTTTTTCTAACTGGTTTGGGTTTTCACTGCAGGGTTATTTTTGCTACGGGCATAATTCAACTGAAGCTCCAGTCCGCACAGATATCAACACATTGAAAAATTATGCAATTATTATTATGGGTATTCATGGAAACGCGTAAATGCCTCGTAAGCGCGTAAATTAAGTAGTATTACGAAGTTTACAGTGGCTATTTGTAGTGGAAAGTGAATAAAACATTGAAACCCATATGTGTATAAATATACATATTCCCGTTTTTTTTTTTTAATTTATGCAAATGTACTTAAGTATATGGACATATGAATGTATTAAGTAAAAATCCGATCCGGTAGAAACTATATTATATTTGGTGGAAAACAGAATTTCACATTAAAGATACATATTTTTTACCTGTGTTTTTTTACTGTAGTTGCATTTAGCCAAATTCGCCTTTGCTGAAATGTCAAGCCTATGCAACTTTTGCAGGCATATCCCCATTTTTTACTGCCTAACTTTTCGTATGTTTATATGTTATACCACTAAAAACAATGGGAAATCGATTTTCCTGCATTTCCTTCAACCGTTGCGTGTTTGCGCGCTTCCGTCGATTGTTAATGTAATGTGTTTCTTCTTCTTCTTGCTCACAGCGCCGCAACTGTTTAGATGACTGAAATGGCACTCCTTGGGAGCGCTCTTAATCAACGTCTAGCTCAGAAAAAAACTTTCTGACTTCAGACCGGGGTATTATATTGATGAAAGTTCATCGATTTTTATGCCTTTTCTGCTTACTGAAACATAGCGTTATGCTTTCGACCAGCCTATGTACTTTTACAGCATTTGCTGGCACACAACTTAAGCATGTAGGTTGGTTATTTGAGTTGTTGTAAGCTTTGGTGCTTGCTGTTTTGATTGCTAGCGAATGCGTTCAATTTGTTATTGTACTCGTCAATTTATTCAATTAGTAGCGGAATTAGATAATGGCTTGAGATTTTCATCTCCTCTTTGTGTGTATAATTTTATAAACCGTATCACTTTCCTATGCACATGGAAGACCGACTGACCGACCGCCCGACTAACCGACCGTGGTCCATCAGTCAGACATCACAACTCAACGAATCGAAATGAATAATTTATTTTTTTGTTTTCCACTTTGCTTATGACTTTGTATTTATGTATGGATGTGCATAGTTACATATGTATGAAGCAGCGTAGTTTTTGGCTCGCGGCCATATATACTCATACATACTCATACCCCCTGACACTGCCCAATTACTTTGGTTTATCTTTCCACACAATCACTGCAAATTCCTTAAATTTACTTTCTGCAAATTTTCACAACTTCACTTTATTTCATTTTCCATTACACATTTTTTCATGGTGTCATACATTTCACTTTTCGATGAAAATTGGGAGGCCACCTTCTCGCGAATTTGGAGCAACTGTGCAAACAACGAATGCGAATTTTTTAGTCAAACTTTTACTACAATACTATATAGAGGCATGATTATAATACATCTTGCAATTATTTGCCTTCGCATGACCATTTCTATATTTCTTAGCACCACAAAAGAATGCAATGTTCCATTCCTTTGATTTTAGACTTAATAAATTGCATTTCCTTATTTTTTTTTGCTTTAGTGGCTGGCAGTAGCAGCGCACCATGGAACGGCATCACCCATACAATTCGACTTCCAGAGGCATACTGACCACAGTATACTGAGCACACTGACTGTTTCAGTATGGAGGGGAATCAGAAAACGGGAGACTGTCTCTTTATTTTGTATCTGGAGATACATATACCCACTCACGATGACGCTGTTGTATCTGTTGAGTTCGTTGTCATGACACTTTACTTCTCCTTGGCCATTCGTTTTGTTTATGACATTTAGCGTTTCTATGTTTGCTGTCTATATTTGCCTGCGCGATTTGTTTATTTTTCATTGCATTATTATTAAAAGTTTTATGAATGAATCTCTCTCTCTCTTTTTTCTTGTGAGTTCAGGTATTCAACAAGGGGAGATGGAAGTAAGTTGTATACATATCTGATCTCAAAACCACCCTATAAAGCCAATGTTTTTTATACATACGCTACGGTGAAAGAATAGCATTAAACTAATACCTATAAATAAATACCCTGTAAAGAAAAAAAAAAACAGGTAAACAAACGGCCAAGTACATAAATATACATACAAATACATGAATATAAATATTAACTGGTATTACACTGTCGCTGAAGCCGACTAGTTAGTTCGTAGAAATCCTAAATGCATACACATATACATATATACATATGTATACAAACTTTATACATAACAAAAAGTTAAAAGATGATTAGTCAAAAGATTTCATTGCAGAGTATTTAGTTAAAGTTGTGTGTTAAAATTAGCCGAACTGCAGCCGGATTCAAAAATTCTCTATCGCAAATTTTGATAGCGAAAAATCTTCAGAAGGATAGCAGGCGGGGCTAACAACTTGCAACATCTAGTTAACTGCTCCCCATACTGACAGATTTCGCTGATTACACTTTTGCACCTTTCCCTGTTGTATACTTTTAGGCCCTACTGCTTTTCATTCAGAGCATTTCGGCGACGTAAATTTAGAATAGCAATTGTCAGAATTCCACTGCTGCCGTGGAATTCTAGAAATCCATACGCAAAATTTATATCGCTAAACATTTCGAAATGAATAACATGGGCTTGCAATTATTTAATGCGTAACCCGGAGGAGCTTAATATAAAATCGTAAGCATTATGGATATGGATGTTATGTTTCTCTGGAGGCGATGCATAGTTTTATGAGCGAGCCTTATGCACTTAGAGATTTTTTGCGATACAAATTTAAACTGGCGATTTCTAGAATCCCACTGCTGGACAGCATTAGTAGCGTAAGGGACAACTGTCTTAATGTAATACTAGTTCAAGACTTGGCTACTTCGAGATGCTTTGGAATAAATATAGATGGAACTGACAACGTGCTATTGACAAGGAATTTTAAGCCCCGGCAAAGATGTAACACAGCGCTGCCTCTCAATGGCTACACAGTATCAAGGCTGCCAACTTTCCTTAGAAATGAGGTGCCATATTGCGGTTCAAAACGAGCAAGAAACTCCCAAATAGAAAAATAAAAGTGTCAAAGAAATGCCAACATTTTTAATTTTAATTTAAGAAGATTATTTCTTTCTTTATCATTTAGCAATATAATAAATACTAATTTTCTAAATCAAAAGCGTAAGAACCAAACTATTTTAGTTAATGAAGAAGCAGTACACGCGATGGAATTCACACAAATGTATTTAAATATATACACTTACTGAATAATTTGAACTTAATCTTTTAAACATGTGGCAACTCTCTTGAAACATTCGAAATGTTCAAACTAAAGATTTTTTAGCATTCTTTCGTTTGACTGCGGTGTCATTATATTTCGTATACTTTTTGAATTAGTTAATTGAGTAGACCTTTCAAACAGGTGGTAGCCCTCTTCAAAAGTACTTTCAAGCTTAATCATTGTTAACTCTCCTTTGCCGAACTCTACGATACATATTTTAATTGATGAGTTAAGTGGAATTTTAATCTTCAAACAAACCCACTAAATATAGTTCAGAAATAAGAAAATTTCAAACCGCCTTCGATTGATACCCATATTTCAATAAGTCATTTAACTTATAAATTTTTTTTGAATTTAACTTTTTAAACAGGTTCTTCCAATACCTCAAAAATATTCTTAGATTTCAAACTAAAGATTTCTTAACACTAATTCGTCTGACATCCATATTTTGATATTTCTTGTAACTTGTGTATAAGTAAACTAAAATTCGACATTTCTAGCAGGCGGAAACTCCCTTAAAAATATTTCCAAAGGACTTTCTGAAATCCCTTTCGTTTGGCACCCATATGGTGATACATATATCTCTTACTTAATATGATTTTTTAAACAGGTGGTAACCCTCCTATACTTCAGCTAAGAAACAAAGCTTTTAAAACTATTTCGATTGATACCAATTTTTTAATAATTGATTTTTTTTTTTTAAATTATTTATAACTAAAAACAAAAAGGTGGCAACTCTTTTCAAAAACGTAAAATCTTTTGAACATCTACAGTCCAAGGGCTTTACTTTGACGTCTCATTTTGGAAAATCGAACGAACGGTGGGGATTTGATGGCATTGACTATTAAATAATTTGGCAACTCTTTTCGAAAAACTAAAATCAGTTTGCACATCTACATGGCGAGCGCTTTTTTAATTTGACATCTCATTTTTGAAAATCGGGCCAACGGTGCAGATCTTTTATCCTGAACAAAAAAATCCATTCGCCTATTATATATATACATAGATTCTATGTCATCAGTTCCCAACCAGTGGGTCGCGAAAGGGTTACAGGTGGGTCGCGAATCGATCCTGAAACTAGTGGTGGCAAACTATCGATGGTTTTGGTATCTATTTTTCATTATCGATAGTTTTTCAAAACTATCGAGTGTTTTCATTATTGAAACTTTTCCAAATTTTAGACACAAAAATGATGAATGAGCATTTTTTAAAGCGGCAAAACTTTTATATAAAAGAATATATAACAACTATGTTGGCCTAACGTCATCAGTAGAATCGGAACGAATGTATAGTAAAGCAGCTTTAATAGTAAACGAAAAAAGGTCGCAACTAAAACCTAAAAATGTTGACATGCTATGTTTCTTATGGTGATTTCGTTTCTTCCAAAAAATGTTGGCCTTCACTCGTGTAAAATGTGTTTGATGTTACGCTCAACTCGGTAAAAACGCATGGTTTTGCCTTCTTGTCCTTGTCTAGCTCACGCATTTCATAATATTGTCGATTTAAGCAACCATCTGATTTTTAAGGCAACCATCTCCTCTGAAAAGCTTCACAGGGTAGAGAATGCACCTTTTTTGCCTTATAAGAGTGGGAAGTTTTAAGAAACGAACACAAAATCTTTTCACCTTTTGCCTTTCATTTAGAATCGAGCACGACAAGAGAAAGGGGAAATCAAAAGGCGACATTTTTTGGCAGAAACGAAATCACCATTAAATAAAAACAATTGGCTTTAGAAAGCAGAATACGTAAATATGTTAAGTTTTCTAAATCATACTTTCAATATTAAGGTAGGTTCTTATGGTCTTTAAAAAACTATAATTTAACGCAATGGGGGTATTCATATAGTCAAAAGTCGATAGTTTTAAAAAAATATCTCCCACTATCGATAGTTGCGACTATCGATAGTTTGCCACCACTACCTGAAACTATCAGAAACAATTGAATCAACAACGATAAGAAAAACATAAGATTAAAGCACTTTCATTCAATCCTGACATTGACGCGTTGATTCCATTGAAATAGTCTAAAAAATTTCTTTAATATTGCATTCTTACTTAAAAACAGCAACTTTACATATTGATACATAGATTATGATAACAATTTTCTTAACCATAATACCCTGTGAAAGTCAGTTTTACATAAAAAAAATTATATATTCGCGAAACTACTGGCCAAAAATAGTGAAATAGTTTTTAGGTTTTCTCTGACGACACGATTTTCTAAAAAAGATTTTGAAATTTTAAAGGTATGATTAATTCAAAAAAATATTAAAACCCTCAGTGCCATGTGGAATCATATTAAAGAGAATATTCTGTAGGAATAAAAAAGGTGGTGCATAAGGACCAACAGGTACAGAAAAAGTCCTTTTAAAATGTTATTCTTGAATATCCTTGAAAATTGGCAATAAGTACTTTTGAAAAAAATGTATGTTAAGAACTAAATATCTTACACACACAGCTAATAGCTTAAAAAAATAAAATAAATTTAAAAGACATTTTTAATACCTACTCGTCCTTGTGAACCAAAAGGCTTAAATTTTTAAATCATATAGAATTCTCTCTTTTATTTGGTACCTATATTATTATTCCACGTTGAATTTAAGTTTTTAAAATATTTTTTTTTTGTTGATATGTTTGAAAGTCTTTTTAAAAATATCCTGACGTCAGAGAGAAAAAACTAAAAACGCTTATGGCTTCGTGAGTATATTGATTATTCCGCTTGTTCAGAAATTTTATGGTTTTTGTCGCACGGTGTATTCACATCCAAACTGAACAAATTCGTTTGCAATATTATTTCTGCAACTTTCTGAATTTCCAACTGATTTTGGACTTTGATAGCTTTCTAGATACGAAATTTCAATGGAAATCAGGCATTTCGATTGGCAATAATGTTACCTATTTTTCTTATCGAGGGCTTATATTCAATACCCTCTATCTTCAAAAATTCAATTTTTCAGGAGAGCAAAAAACTGTTTTGACAGCTATTTTGAAAAGTGTTAATAATTTTAAGTACCTACGCATGTCTTAAAAATTCACGCTATATATTAAAACTAGGATTTTACCTTTAACTCATTTTATTTTAGATTAAAGATCAGATAGGGGTTATTGCAATTCGAATTGTAACTATTTATATAAAAAAATGTGCTGATAGCGGGTTTTGCAGAATATTGAAAATGTCAGTTCTTTAGATGTAACTTTTATGTTAAACTAAGTTTTTAACACATATATCATTGCTCTGCAAACTCGTTCCCTTATAGTCCGACGTGCCCAGGTAACCACATAATTTTAATGGTGTTTTTGTGTCGAAAGAGTATTTCACGTGATTTCGAAATTATATGACAATCATTAGCACTGTTAAAGAGGGCTTCGATGGCTGAGTTATAGTTCGTGCATA